CCCCAAAACCCCAAAACCCCAAAACCCCAAAACCCCTCCAATTTTATAAATCTTTGAAATATTAATAAAAATGGGACAAAAATTACAGCTGTTTTTCTTGCTATGCCTAGTATTAGCCAACTGTCAAGATCAAGGGACCAAGATCCTTTCTCATAGCTTCGACTTCCCAAAGAAGGAGTATCCTCACTTGATCCATAACACTTATGGAGCATCAATAATTTCTAAAAATTTCATAAAGCTTGTCCCTGCGGTTCCTTTCAGAGCTGGAGAAGTTGTGACAGGAGTAAAAAGTTTCATTGATGATTTCAGAGCTGACATCGAATTCGAGATAATCTCTAGTCCCACTAACAATCCATACGGTTTCGGAATCTGGTACCTTAATGCACTCAAAGAAGTCAATGATAGAAAAGGTAGCCTCTTCGGGCTTAAAGGTGATTTCTCTGGCTTAGGAATCTTTGTTTTCAAAAACACTAACGGAGGTCAATGGATCGTTCACGGATTATTTAACAGGGGAATGGAAGAACAATACATAGATGAGAGTAAAATCAATGAGAATAACGCATGCTCTATCCTTGGTAGTGTAGAAAATACCGTCAGAACAATAAGGTAAACTTTTGGTTTGAGTCTTTAGACTTGAGAAATCTCATAAAAAGGTAAAAGTGTCTATCAAAGATCCATCAACAGGGAACTACGGGGAATGCTTTTCCATCTCAAATGATGGTCTTGCGTACAAAGGCTACTTTGGTTTCTCGACTGACAATTTCGATGAACAACATGTGAATGATATAAACCTCTACAGTCTAAATGTATTTAATATTGGAGGCCAAAAAGTCGAAAAATCTCTAATGAATGATCAAGAGATCAACACAGATGCGAAGAAAGGCAGAGATATCCTTCATAAATACACAGCTGATAAGGATGGAGTCAATAGAATGAAAGTTGACCTCAGAAATAGAGAGAATCAGAGTGGCAGAAGTTCTTCTCAGAATGCACAGAAGGGAAGTAAAGATGGTCAGAATACAGGAGAAGCTTGGCAAGATTGGTCAGGTGTTTCAAAGGTGAGATTTGGGAAGGTAACGGTGTAGGCTAGTGAGTCAAGTGAAATTATGGTCAATTTCAGACATATCCAAGCGAAATATCAGGAGCATGTCAATGAGTTTCAGAAGAATATTGCTAGTATAGATGCCAATACTGCTCAAATTATTGAGTTTAATAAACAGAAAGCATGGAATATGTCTGCAAATTATAAAGCAATGGAAAGAAAAGGACAAGAGCTTTATCAATCAAGAGCAGGGCTTCAACCCCAACAAAACCAAAATAACAACAACGAGGAAGCTGATAAGTTAAAGGATATGATCTATAACCTCGATGTTAAAATCGGTATTTTAGTCAAAACTCATACATAGCTGCTATTGAAAAAGAACTAGCAGAATTCCAAAGTACAGGAGAGATGATCACAACAGGGCTCGAAGAAGATCATCAAAACAAGGTCCAAATCACTCAAAAATACATCGAAAAAGCATTTGATCCAACAGTAGGAGATCTTGTGAAGCCAAAGTCCTCTTTCCCAATCAGCTTCACTACCCTGTTTTTCTTGATCATCATAATACTCGCATGTGTGTTCATCTTCACTCACATGAAGGAATGGAGCATGGTAACGCATATTCTGGAGAAGGAGAAGAGGAAGTTGTAATACATATCCATTCAGCTGAATAATTCTTTAAGGGGTTTTGGGGTTTTGGGGTTTTGGGGTTTTGGGGTTTTGGGG